GTCATCATCAATTGACGCGAGCTGGCAACTACCGGTTACCCATTTGGCGTTGACTTGACCGAACGAGGAATTCCCTTTGAAACCTGTTTTATGGGATTCTTACCAAAGAAATAAAAGCTGATGTCCATACTGATTTCGACTGCCTTATTTATAAAAACTGTACCGAATAAAAACATCATCTGACTTGTAATACGGAATACTCCTCTTTTTACTTCCGTTTCTTCATTCCATTGACTTGGGAAAAAAATTTTGTATATTATATTTATATATACTTTAATATAAGAATTAATATTTTACAAACTTAAATATATTCACAAGGATTTAAAAACATACAGTTGATATAAAAAATTTCAACGAAATTATCGTCTCGAAAACATCTATTAATCGTATCTTATCTCAAAAATTGATGTGCGTATAAAATGTATATCAATATAAATCACAAACATAAAATATAAAGAGCATTCAGCCACGCATTGCTGAATGCTATTTATATTTTATGTTTTGTAATTTGTGAGCCACTAGTGAATTTACAATATTAATCAGCAGAATTTAGTTATTGATAGTGTCGGATTTCACAATTAAGATACAAATGTCACCGTGTTGCTTTTAGAAAGTCATATCATTTCGTACATAAAATAATAATAATTATCAATAAATCGTGATAAAAGTCAAATCGTGAAAAATTTACATAACTTGTAAAGTCAAGTAATACAAGTTATGTAAATTAATACAACGTCAAGTACATACAAATTAGTAAATTATTGTCACATTGTATGTAAGATAATTAATTTTAATATTTGACACTGCGCAATTACTTCTTGCAACGACTCCTATTGCCTCTTTTATTACGATTTATTATTATATTAATAGAAGGAGTCCATCGATTTATTGTTTTTATTGTAATTATTAATAATTATCAAAGAGCTAGAAATTAAATTGTATCAAATATGTTTAAAAAAATTGTCTGAAGAGATATTAGGATGCACATAAACATTCATTTTAAGTGCATAATAAATAAATTAAAATACGGTAAAAGCAAAGCTTGTTTGTACAAAAAGGAATCCTTAATAGAACATTTTGAGATCTCCGTTTTCTAATATTTTCAACATGCCAGCGTTAATGTTCACGGTTATATAAATAATTATAGATTATCTCCAATCTTTGGTTGAAGATTAACATACAATTACATTTCAAGAATCTAGTTAAAAATTCACAATGTATTATATATCAGCAAAATGGATGCGTCATTCCTTTCTTGTTTACCTATTTTCTAGATAATTTATGCTTGTTTCTACCAATGCAGTTCAATTTTAATCTCGGTTCAATAATTAACTCTTCGTTCTCTTCTAGTTTTAATAATTAGAAACAAATGAAGTGTAAATTGAATTATAGATTAAAATTAATTTACACAGAAACGAGTATTAGTCCGATTAGCAAATACTTTAAATTCCTAAAAAAATTTCTTATCAAAGCGTTTAAAAAATATATGTATATTTACATTTCACTTAAATTCTCATTTGCGATTACATAAGCTGCTCGGTTGGCATCGTAAATATCCATGGTGTGATATTACGTAATTACCTCATCAATTAATAGAACATATGCTTGCGTATATATTGGAGCAATCGCACATACGTTTACCTGTGTACACGTGCTTTATTTCTGCGGTTCACAGAAGCAGTGAGTGATACACTATACGATATGTGTATAATATACATATATATATGTTCGTGTTTATGTATGGTGATATGTATAGATCGATCCCGGGAACTTATTCTTGGTTAATTAATAACATTGACAAGATCAGAATTCATTATAGATAATATCGATAAAACACGTCTCTTAGACGTGCGCAATAAAACGTGAGGACGTCTGATACGCTTTACGTGTCTCAGAAAAGATACATGCATTTACACGTACCTTGAAGAAAAGATAGTCATTTCGTGCACAAATGAATTACAGGACGAACAGAATTGGATGTAATCTGTGTATCATAATAAATTTTTATCAATTGTTATTAAAGCTTGTTAAAAGAATATTAGTTTTGTTGAAGATAATATTGTAGAATCTGCAAATTGTTTCGCTATAATATTCCAAGTCAATTCTTCTGCTATCATCAAGATAATAACAACTGTAAATACATAATACTTGCTAAGAGTAGACTACCTGCTTCAATTCAAGGCTGCTGCAAATAAATTATTCGGCAAAACTTTTTTGTACTTATTCAACGAAAGAGTTTTATCTTCCTTTGAATCACTTAAAAAAATCTTTATGTTATATACATACATGATATTGAAAATATATAGATGTGCTCTGCAATGAATATTCTATAATGTAGATATCTTTAATAAAGGGAAGAAGTGGACTTGTAAATAATAGGAAATTATGTTAATATTACGTGCTGTAATTGAGACGCGAGATGACGCGACATATCCAAATCTAGAATCCACGAAACCGGCAGCATACTTATCGCACTCGTTTGGGTATTAAGTCTGATTCCGTCAAAGATAACGACGATTTTTTATTTCAAATTGAACACGTAGTGTGCCGTGTGTTTTATATTCACGAATAAGTCCATTACAAATCAAGTTTTCAAACCGCATAACTCGACGTCGCTTCTTCTCTTCTTTTTCTTCTCCTCTTCTTCTTTACTTTCTTTCCCTCCTCTTTTTTCTTTTTTCTTCTTTTTCTTCTTCTTGTTGTTGCATATATGTATATGTATTACAATGCGTCAAGTGTCGATGATGGACAAATCGTGAATATAATGTCAAGTCAGTTAACAAGAGAAATCAGTCATCATATTTACGAAATAACCGCAATAGAATTAAAAAGCCACAAATTTGAAACTGGAAAGAACAATGTCACGTTGCCGATGATCTTCTTCTGATTACGAAAGAACCGAAATTTGTACGTGCAGTAAAGTAAGTGCAATTAATTATGAATACCGTAAATTGTATATTATATTGTGTTTTGTTCATTTTCGATCAGATAAAATTTTGTAAATACATTTGGTATACAGGGTGCCTGGGAATTACCGGCAAATGTTTCGCTCGTGGGTAGAACAGACTATACTGAGTCGAAAAGTCCTGACTATTTTGCAGTGTCAGCAATAGTTAACGAGATATTAATTTGCAAAATATTTGGTCTTGAATAATTTTTTACTCAAATACTATCAGCTTTACAGAAAAACTGCAGGAGATAAAAATCATTTATTTTTTTCTCATAAAGTTCTGAGAATTTTTTCAGAATATTTTAATACCGTATTTTCTCATGTTGGTAAAAATAAGAAAATGCAGTACTAAAAAGTTGATAAAAAATTCTGAAAAAATTCTAAGTTAATAGTATTTGAGTAAAAAATTATTCAAAGCCAATATTTTGCAATTTTTAGTAATTAATATCTCGTTAGCTATTGCTGATACCGCAAAATGGTACAGGACTTTTCGACTCAGTATAGTCTGTTCTATCCATGCACGAAACATTTGCCGGTAATTTTCTGACACCCTGTAGAGTGTTTCCGTGTACAAATTCATTTGTCATCGCGTTAGAAGAGTTTAAAGCAAATCGAATAAACTAAATCAATTAAATTTAGAATGAAAGTAATATAGATTATATATAAAATAATAATATTGCATAATTTCTTTATCTTTTTGTAAATTGCTTTATATTTATGTAATTGTTTAGATGTTAAATTCATTCGAAATTTGTACTTTATATTAAGTCTTTCTACTTTATATTAAGTATCAAGTTTCTTATCTCATTTGATTGATAAAATGTCTTTCTTATTTTGCTTTTAATTCGTTATATATATCAAGTTGTTTGATGATAAAAGATAACTCCAATCTTGTTTTCAAATTATTTTTATGTGATATTGTCAAAACGATTATAATCCTCGCTTTACGTTAAACTTATATAAATATACGCGAGTACTTAAATAAAATAGCTTCATGTTAACATAAAATTACTAATTGCATTATTTAGATAAGTTTTGTAAAAAATCATAATTATAAATATTTTATTGTTTATTAGAGATATGATTAAAATTTAAAATTAACTTTAATATCACGTTTTTATAAATGTCAAGAATGATTTCTTTTTCCAAATATATGGAAGAAACCGATTATATTTTGCATCTCTTTATATATATATACTGTATAATAAAAAAAAAACTCTAAACTACAGAGTAAAGTTTATGCGAAATTAACTGAAAAATCTGACTTTATTATCTGTTTATCTGCAATTTAACTTGCCAAAGTCTGTCTTACTTCCCACCAATTATTATAATTGTTCATTGTAAAAACGTCTCATTAATTTTTTATTAGAAGATGTAAGTATCGGGGATATACCGATCTTAATTTCACTCGTGCTCCGCCGTATCTACATATAACTAATTGTGTACACGTGTACATTAGTCAGCGAGCTTCGGGTAACAGGTGGAAAGTCCACTGACAAATTCAGTTTCGGGGAAAACGGAGCACACAGCAGTTATTGGTTACGAGCTGAGCAACAGACTCAGATGGGGCAACTTGAGAATTCTGTAGAAAAGGAAAAAAAATCTGTGAATATCCTACAATTTTACGTCATCGTCATTGCGTGCGTTTATACCTGATCTGACTATAGGTGAGACAGAAGGCCCCTCTCATGGTGGCTACTCTCGTGGGGTACGCACAATCTTCACAGGAGAGGAGAAGACCTCCTGCGGCTTTCTTATACTATCATATAGAGGAACGAATGCGCGTGACGCCGGTCCAGTCCTCTGTAAAGCGTCATCCACGTAAAACGTCCCGTGTGTCGTGCGTTTCGTCGCAAAGACAAGAGAAGAGACGCGACTTCCGTTCAATGTAAACGCGTGCATAGCATGGTGCGTCCGAATCTCGGTCGTGGCCAGGAGAGTTGAACGCCCGGCGACGTGTATCAAGTATTTTCTGCAATAGTGTGAATTATTTATTCTGGTATTATTTGTATATATATATATATATTAATATATATTTTGTATATGTATATATATTAATACTCGTCATCCTCCCGTGATTATTGCAGTGTTTGGAATTATTGATTATGATTGAGAGTGCGATGAGGTAAGTGGCATTAATCTGCCTGTATCTTTCCTCTTTTAAGAAAATGATTGAAAGTACAGTATTGTTAAAAAATATCCTGCTTTTATATCGTAAATCGAAATACCCCATTAATTTAAAGAGTAATATTTGAAAAATATCGACACGCATCTTTCTTGTTTTTTAATTTTAGTGATATTTATGAGATGCAGCAATTACGTGTAAAATTTACGCATTGTTTTGATGCAACAATAATCAGATAAAATTATAAATTATTTTAATACTGCCTGACTAATGCTCTTAGTTATTACTTTAAGGCTTCAATTTCACTAATATAAGATTAACTTTAATGTTGACTAAATTTACTCTTTATGTTCTTTGAATTCTTCGAATTAAAAGAAGATAAAGAGTAAATTAAACCGATCAGATTAAAGTTAATCTTACATTAGATTAATTAGGCACCGAGCCTTCAAATAATATAGACTAAACTATATCCTTAAAATTCCTGGGTATCTCTAATACAATTTCCACTACAAAAATTTAAAGTCACTTTGAAATCATATTGTAACGTGAAAGTTGAATATTATTAATTGTTCTATTAGCATACAAAAAAAAGTTTATACTTTTCGTTATTTCGCTAATATCACGTGCGGTACATTCGAGAATTCTTGGTTGCACATGTCTCGATTGATCTCGCGCAATCCCGACTTTAATATATATAAAATATGCGGGTTTAATGTCACGTTTAATATTAAAGTTGTGCTCGCATTTCTCGTTAAGAGATATTAAATAACAAAACAAACAAACGAAATATATTAGAAAATTAAATTCTAAGATTTTGTTTCGCAGATCATTGTACATTTCTTGAGCATTCTTTGAACTTTCACTGGCAAGTAGCCAGAACGGTATTCTAAAAATTTCTTTTTAACAAAAACATTTTCATTATCAATTTAATAATATAAATTATTTAAAAACTTTATAAGGATATATATACATGTTATGTTTATTACATTGAAATAAAAATTAATAATTAAATATACGTTAGTATTACATAACAGGTATATATGTATATATAACTTAACATATATTTTTGTTAATATTTTATATAAAAGACCATAGAAATTATTTTGATAATAAAAACCAACAATTAATATTTTATTAATTAATATAAACAATTATGATATACCTATAGACTTATTAACAATTGTTTTGACATTTAAAGTTGTTTTAAGGAAAGATTGAAAAGTACTTTGGTATAAATTTGCTTGGGGAAGGGAAAATTTTTATAACACGGAAATAATGATGGTTATTAATATTATTATCATAATTGCAGATAACAGCCATGTCTAGTGCTGCAACGATGCAATACATTGCGTGAAGTTGTGCTAAACTTGTAAAGTTACGACGTATATATTATGTTGTAAGATCCATTAGGGATTTCAACATTACCGATATCAACGTAGTTTTTCACTTGAAACATCAAACGCTGTTTCATATGTGTCTATAGTAATTAAGCGAGATATACTTCCCGCAAATTTTTCATAAAAGTAATCATATAATATCATGTATGTCAAGTTTTATACTAATAAATATGTTTAAAATAAAAAGTGCGTAGTTTAGATATTGCAAATATAAAGTTTATAAGATATTAAAAACCCAAGTAGCGAACTGACATCATTTTGTCAACATTTTTCATCAAACTGATGTTTAATGCTAAAATGACATCAGCTTGTTACCTGAAAATAAGATACATTCTTAATATCATTTCAACAAAAATAATCAATTCCATCAAATAACTTTCAAAATTAATAATTATAATATTAAGCAATTAGAAATAAAAGCATTTTCGCGAATTAAGTTCGAGCAAATAAATTGTAAAAATTTACTTACTTTAATAACTTTAAGTTACATAAATGACTGTATTTCTATATGTTGTTTTAAATTTGTTAATTAAAATATTAAATGTAATAACACATTAGAAAATTGTGATAAAGAATTATTTTTGTCATTTTGTTTGAGGGAAAACCTTATTACACGTTCACTAATGGGTCATTAAAATACGCCAGAAGTAGAACATTTTGTATTATCGTACCATTTATTGTATATTGACGTAAGAAGACGTAAAGTTTAAATGAGGCTCGATCGTTCAAGTTGAATTCTTAGTAAAAAAAACCCTTAGTCATCAGTAATTTTACTATCTTCTGCAAATTATTTGCGCAGAAAATTTAAATTATCATTAATAATCATTAAATACGTAGTTATATAATAATAATGAAAAATATTCATAGTTCTCCATACACTCAGAAAAAAGTTTTGTTGATATATGACCAACAAAAAGTTTTTCGTTGTCCTAACCAAAATTTAGTTATGATAAAATTTTTTGTTAGAATAACATAAAACTTTTTGTTGGTCATATATCAACAAAACTTTTTTCTCAGTGTAACTATAATTATATCTTTATAGAGATATATATGAAATATAACGTTATAGAAATAGCGTGAACAAGATCGATTTTATAATTAAAGTATTATGAAACCAAGCGAGTTCTAGAGTATAATGGAAAAAAATAAAAATCGAAATATTTTCCAACTAATTTTTTTTCGAAAATTAAAAATTAATTTCTTTTCTGACTCGAATCGATTTATTTATTTTTTGTACGATTGTACATCAATGTCTTAAACTTAACTCAAATTCACAAAGTGTTTAACGCTTTACGCTCACTTATTACATAAGGTACGAACGCACAATATCTTTTAAATCTTAGTTATCTTCGTCGATTTGTTATCTCCGTAATCTCCGTAATTTTAGGATTTCACAAAGCATTACATGTAACTTTACGTGTTATCATATCTGATGTATTTCTGAATTAAGTTGCCTTTGTTACAGATCGAGAATGACAATCTGGAACGTGCTGCTTGTTCTACTCCAGCTACTTGTTTATGAAAGTTTATCAGGTTAGTGCTTTTCATTATTTACTTCGGCTTGGTGACATATTAATTGGAATTTTTTATTTTTATTATACATTTACATGTCTGAATCGTATTGACATTTTCCTATTTTTGATTTCGTATGAAATAAAATTTTTATACTATTATATGAAAAATATGTTCAAACATTCTCATTCTACATTCTTCTATTTGTACATAATAATACATTATTGGATAATTTATAGGATATTAAACATACTCTCTCTCTACATTGGATAATAAATAATATAATAACATATAATATAATTTTAAAAAAGTGAAATTAATTGAGCACTAATTATCGATCTATTTTAAATAACAGAAGTGATCGCTGCATATTATCTAAGATCTTATTTGAAAATCAATTCAAATATGTATAACAAGTGTGGTTATTAAATATTTCTTACATTCTCATCTGTGTATCTTGTCTGAGAATGCGCTTAGATTGGGGAAAAACAGAAAAGATCTTTTCTGTTTCCCCAATCTAAGCGCATTCTCAGACAAGATACACAAATAAAATCCGAGACAAATGCTGATTTAAAAAAAAAGGTTCTATCACTAAAACTCGAGTTTTAGTGATAGAACCTTTTTTTTAAATCAGCATTTGTCTCGGATTTTAGAAAAGATAATAACGACATACAATGACTTTGGTCTGACGCCGATTGATCCGGAAATTGTCGATGTCATCGACTGGAAGCATCATGCATGTCGACGAACATGCAAGGATGATGCGGCGCCTCTGGACTGTTATTATACCTTCAAACTGGAGTCTTACCAGACAATGAGTAAAGCGTGTTACAATTGCCCCTTCAACATCACAGACTGCTTTCGGCCTCATTGCATCCCGGCGGATGGCATAAATCGATCTCTCATGGTTGTGAACCGGCAAATGCCAGGCCCGCCGATCGAGGTACGTACACCGTAAAAAATTAAATCTTAATTTTAACTTAAAGACGTTTAGTGGACTTTCTGAGAAATGCAAAAATGTTAAAATTAATATTTTTGTGTTAATTTTAACATTTTTGCATGTCTCAGAAAGTCCACTAAACGTCTTTAAGTTAAAATTAACATTTTATTTTTTACAGTGTAATATTAATAAAAAAACTAAATTTCGTAATACATATTAGTTTTCATATTTATGCTTCTGCTTTATTTACTTCGATACCTCGATCTTTTATTCAGCAGGAAAACCACATCGAGAATCTTTACATGTTTGTGCTATTAGTAGAAAATGAATAAATATATGAACGAAATGAATGTTTTGTATTAAAAAACTGAAGAGGATAAGCTCGTTCAGCTTTTAATTACATGTTATTAGTTATTTAATTACGTATAATTAATTTCCGCTTATTTCTCAATCGATCTTTATTCTTTGTGTGTGTATATTTTAAATTCCGCGGATATAAATAAAATCATTTAAAAGTAATTTGTACGGGTTTTTATTGCGAGACTCATTTGATCACTAATTACTATTTTCTTAGTCAGTTGGATTTTTTAGTATGATCGATAAAGATGGAGAAATAATTCATCGCTTCGTCTTCTTCATTGCAATCTTTTGCAGCTTGATTACTGCTCGCCAATGTTTCCTCACATTATGCGATACTATTATGAGTGCAGTGCGGTGGGATTCATATTGCAGATATCCTATACCTTATAACTTAATATATTTTGAGTGGAATCTTGTAATGACGCTTTAACAAGCACTCCGAGGAATTGTTCGCGCGTCGATTATTTTGTTTGATAAACATTTGTTTGACAGAATAATCGCCGCGCGAATAATTAAAGTGCTCGTTAAACAGTCATTACAGTATAAGATATTTGCAATATGAACCCCACCGTTCTCGTGATAGCATTGAGTATCCTCATACGTTCGTATGCGTATATATATTTCTAGATTTCTAGATTTCGCTTACAATTTCATTACAATTATTATAGATACGAAAATAAAATTCTTTGCGATGTTCGGGAATTATTGATAATTCAATCACGCGAGTAGTTTCGTTTTAATTACAAACCGCAAGCACCGATAATGATATTCGGTCGATATTATCTCATTTTAGCGCGATCTGTGGTCGATAAACGGTCGTTGCGAATTAGATCAAGCAAATCAAGTGAGATGAGAATATTCTAAGGGAAATTACTTTAATTACAGGTGTGCCAAGGCGACAGGATAATAGTCGATATGATTAACTTATTGCATGCGGAGAGCACTACGATGCACTGGCACGGCCAGCATCATGTTGCCACGCCATACATGGACGGTGTACCCTACGTATCGCAATGTCCTATCCCTCCTGGAGCAACCTTCCAATACAATTACGTCGCCACTGAAGCCGGCACGCATTTCTGGCATTCTCATACAGGTACGCTAAATTTTTCCCAAATATTCGTACTTGATATTAGGGAGTTTTTGCAATAAAAAATGTGACTCTAAATACGGTGAACGCTAAAGTCACATTATCCTTATCTTAAGTAGTTGTTAAGAAGAGAAGATAACCTGACCTCTTAGTGTTCACCGTATTTAGATAAACGATATTGCAAAAACTTTATTATCTGCAGAAAATTGAAGAAATTAAATTGCTTAAATTAACAAATTGTTAATAGTCATTAATAACAATGCTCTGGAAAATGAACTGTTTCTAAGAATTCCATTGTTTGTAATATTTTGTATTGCATGTTTGTCTGCAGGATTTCAAAGAGGTGATGGCGTGTTCGGTTCGTTAATCGTTCGTGTACCCCCTAAAATGAACTGGCACAAGGATTTATATGATTACGATGAGCATACATTAATAGTCGCCGATTGGGTTCATGAATTGGGTCTCACCAAGTTCCTGGCGCATTATCATGCTAACGGTACAAACAAAGCGCCGAACTTACTCATAAACGGCTTGGGCCGTTTTAAAGATAAAAATAAGACGTTGGCTGATATGCCTATTACGACGTTCGTCGTAAAACCGGTAAGTTTCAGTCATAAGAGAAAGTATTCTTAATATAAAAGACTAATTTGCATAAGATGACTGTAAGATGTTTCATCCTGTTGTGTTATTCAAATCTATTTTGAGCTAATTTTCAATTTTTAAATGCAGCAATTATTGCATTATTTTTAACGCTTTCAAAACTTTTAATTTTGTTAATTTCTTAAATGTATATTTATATCTATCATATAAGAAATAAAATATTTTTGTCACAAACAAAGAAAAAGGATTACATATTTCACAGATCAGTCTATTTGTTTCAAAAGAGATCTTACAGTCGATATAATTTTATTCTAAAAACCACTTTTACTTTCTCTTCCTCTTTTTAAAAATAAAATTACATGATTGTGTGTATTTTTATTCGAATCTGATTTTTATTTATTATGTATTTATGTTTGTAGAAATCTCGGTACAGATTCAGACTTATTAATGCAGAGTTCCTGAATTGTCCTATAGAAGTTTCTGTCGACAACCATACTTTGTACGTAATCAGTTCAGATGGGCGTGATATTGTATCGGTACGAGGTACGATTTTCAGTATTTTTTTTATAGATTTATTATGTGATTTTTTTAAATATATATTATGTAATGTGATTGCAGCCGAATCGCTGGTAAGTTACGCCGGGGAAAGATTTGATTTTATAATTAACATGGACCAACCGGTGGACAATTACTGGATAAGATTTCGAGGATTGATGGATTGCGATGAAAGATTTACGAGCGCCTATCAAGTCGCAAAATTGCGATACGAAGGCGCACCCGATAAAGAACCAATAACAGAAGTTTCATATGATCGTGTAAGAAATAACTCCTATGGACTGGTATGTATATTAATATTTTCATGTGATTTCCGTATAATATTTTTTAAGTGGCTTTGAAAACGTTATTTTATGTCCGTTTTAAATTTCTTTAGAAGAAATAAAAAATTATTTCTGATTTTAGCAAGTAAACGCTTTAAATGAAGGAACTGAATCAAATAATAGCATCAGTATGCCAATGTTGAACGCGATGGACGACGATGATATTTCAAACATCAAAGAACCTGATTATCAATTTTACATATCATATGATTTTTACGGGAAAGATAATCCGAATTTTCATCGCAAGGATTTATATGGTTTCCATCAAGGTAAATATATTAAATATATATTTTTTTAAATTAATTTATAATCAAAAATAAAGAAAAATAAAATCATAAATTTTCAATATCTATTAAATGAATGTGCATTATATTTTTTAACAAATCTATAATTAACTATTTAATTATTGGAAAATATTCCACTTACTAAATGCTTTCAATTATCCAATTCGATTGTACATCATATACGCTTTTTAACAAGAAAGTTACACACAGGTTTAGAGTTTTAGAGTTTAGATTTCAAAGAGTGTATACCGTTTATTGTTTCATAAAATATTTCGATCATAAATTTTTAGTAAAACCACAAACATTCACACCGCAATTGAATCACATATCAATGAAGCTGCCGCCGTTTCCGCTCCTGTCTGAAAGACATCTTATTAAGCCAGATCAATTTTGCAACTCCAGCACGGTCGTGGGATGCGAGAAGGAATATTGCGCTTGCACTCATGTGCTTCAGATTAAAACTGGTAGCGTAGTGGAACTAGTTCTTGTTGACGAAGGTGTGTATAAGCAATAAATATTTCTTGCGTATCTCTAATTGTTTAAACCGTCTAAGTTTCACCGTAACTAATAATCCTTGACAGGTGTTCCGTATGATGCAAATCATCCGTTTCACCTTCACGGCTATCAGTTCCGTGTAGTGGCTATGGAAAGGATAGGACATAATATTACCATCGCTGAAGTGAGAGAACTAGATAAACAAGGTTTAATACGCAGAAAACTTAAACGGGCACTTCTGAAGGATACGGTGACCGTACCCGACGGTGGTTATACTATTGTGCGATTTCACGCTAATAATCCAGGTAAGACTTCACAACACATATAAAGAGACAAATAACATTTTTTTAAAATGAGTATATTAAAAACGTCAATGTATGCCGGTAAATAATCGAGCTGCCCAATATTTTTCAGGATATTGGCTATTCCACTGCCACATCGAGTTTCATGCGGAAGTAGGAATGTCACTGATCTTCAAGGTGGGCGAAAACGAGGAAATGCCAGCTGTGCCTTATAATTTTCCTAAGTGCGGTGACTGGAAACTGACGAACAAGACAAATTCGACAATAACCAAACAATCCAAGAACAACGAGTATCTTGAGGACATGATTAAGCAATTTTCAGTATACATGGCGTATTTTAGACAACTCTTGACATTCTATACATCCTCGGCATCCAGTTCGAGTATAACACTGCTACTTTTTATCGCTTGTCTTTTAAGCTCTATGACTCGCATGCAAGCGTTTTAAGACATATCTATGTAAATAGTCTTGAAGTATTGGAGTCACATTATGGAAGACTTTTACAGCAGATTTAATTCAATATGGTCACGAATTTACTGGCAAACGTTTTCTTCTCTTTCGTTTTATTTTGAACAAATATGTGACAATCATTGCACGTAATATGAGCAAAAACGTAAGTATAAATAAATTTAAATGATCGTGTACCAGTAATGGACGGATGTTTAGTCATAATTAAATATATTACGAAGTATTAATATTTCTAGGAAACATCTGTCTGTGTTTTGATTGTCGTTGGTGACGCTATTTCTCGCGAAACTGATGAATTTTATACGAAATGGTGATAGAAATTTTTTTTATATATTTCGCGGTCATATTGTGTATTTATTTCCGACGAGCGAATGGACGTTATCTCAACAAGTGACTTGCATTTCTGTGATATAAAAATAGATTACAATTATAACTATCAGATTGTCAATTACCCTATCCGGTAATGTATACAGTGTTCTAATTTAATTCTTATTAATTTCAATAATGAATCATTTTTATTCACATAGAAGAATCAATATCGGCGAGAATGTCATGCGATAGTAATGTAATAAGAAATAAATAGTATAATATATTCGTGATTCAAAAAAGATATTGTAAATTGAGTTTGAGAGGAAAGAAATAGATAATGATTATTAATTTCAAATTAGATGATTTTTCTTGATCGGAATTAGATGTATATATATATATAAAGATATATAATGCTTGATATCGCTGTGAATTTTCTTTGAGGACAAATTGACCAAACTTCTAACAAACCAAAGAATCTATTATTAAAATATGATCAAAACGAAATCTTGACAAATGCATTACTATAATTATTACTGTAATTATTCAATCATGTATTGTAAATAGTGTTTAATCTAATCATACTGTTAACATAATCGATAGAAGATTCGTAAGCATGTTATCAATTGTATGGTTGTGTTTCTTTACTTTGGATATGTATACGTATATCCATGTATATATATATATATATATATATATAT